CATATATATATATATATATATATATATATATATATACACATATAGCGGTGATATACAAGAAAATGGAAAAAGAAATAAGCTAGAAAAAGAATGCGGGCAAAAATTAAACGCAGATGCGCACGAATTGCGTGTAGAATTGGGAAAACAACGAGTAATAAATATTCCATTAAATTATACTCCGTTATATATTACGTTTACCACACTTTTTCATCTTCCCCATTTGGAGACGACGAATTTCAACATCTTGCAACATCTAGAAAAGGAAATTAAAAAAAAATATTCCTCGCCCAATTTATTCTTCTATCGGTCGTTATTCGCGTTCATCGCGAACGAAGCGAGAGCCCCTGTCGCAGATAAGAGAGAGTCGTAAAACACGGAAACGCGAATCCGTGAGCGTATCTGGTTCGCGATGCACGCTACTGAAACAGTCTCGACCGCGACCAATACATCCAACCGCCATTCATTCGCGATGCTCGATGGCCCACACATGCGCACGGTTCGATTGTATTCGCGCCCGTTCTCATCGCGTTACAGTTATTATTTCCACTCCCATCAACCGCTGTGAGAAGCAGTTTCGACTTTTGCATTAAGCCTCGAGGACGTTTCTTTTTCTTCAATTTCACAAGTGTCTCGTCCCCTCGATATTTTTAAGAATTTCCAATTTCGAAAAGATTTTTTCACGACGATGTTACGTGTATTATGTATAAAATTTGACTCGATTAAGAAGTCGAGTATTCCATTCTTTTTTTTTTTCTTCCTGGAAAACTTTTCTTTCGGAAAAGATTTTTCAACGATGATACTACGTATATTATATTCAAGATTTGATTCTTTTTTCTTGAAAAATTTTCTTTCAAAAAAGATTTTTTGACGACGATGTTACGTATATTATATTCAAGATCTGATGCGACTAAGAAGTCGAGGATTCCATTTTTTTTCTTCTTGGAGAACTTTCTTTTGGAAAAAGTTTTGACGATGTTACGTATATTATATTCGAGATCTGATGCGACTAAGAAGTCTAATACTCGACTCATTTTTTTTTACAAGATTTTTTAATGACACGTGAATTTTTTTTTTCTGAGAATTTTCTTTTAGAAAATATTTTTTGACGACAATGTTACGTATATTATCTTGAAAATATGATTCGATTAAGGAGTCTAATACTCGATTCTTTTTTTCTTGGAGAATTTTCTCTTTTACAAAAGATTTTTTGACAATGATGTTACGTATATTATATTCAAGATCTGATGCGACTAAGAAGTCTAACACTCGACTTATTTTTTTACAAAGATATTTTGATGTATTTCTTTTTC